CTGTACCTTGTGTGGCTGCCACCCCTCTCCCCCCCCCCCCCCCGCCATTGCTGCTCGTCCCTCTGCTCATCGCGGTCAGCTTTGCAGTTAGCACTGCACTGTGACCCGGCGCCCCCACCTGGTCAGACTGCGGGGAGCGTTGACGCCTCTTTGCGTGCCCCTCCCACCCCCCTGTCCTTGCAGACGCGTGAGGAGAGGAAGATGGAGGCCATCCTGCAGGCCTTCGCGCGGATGGAGAAGCGGGAGAAGCGGCGGGAGCAGGCCCTGGAGCGCATCGGCACCAAGGTGGACGTCAAGGAGGAATCCCCTGCCACTCCCGAGGCAGAGGCCCCCAGTGTGGTGCAGGTAGGGGCCACACGCCCCCGTCCCCCTGCCCCAGGAACCTCAAAGCCACGTGCTGCCACTTTAACATCTAACCCCCCCCCCCCCCCCCCCCCCCCCCACCACCACCACCTCTCTCTAGTCTGTAGCCAGACTGACAGCACAGCTGTGATACAGCCCCACCTCTCCCCTCTTACAGGAGCCTGAGTTAATTGAGGACATAGAAGAGAGAACCTCCATTAGCAGTGAAGTAGAGATGGAGTCAGAGGAGCAGATTGCAGAAAGGAGGAGGAAGATGGTAAGTTCAGGGTGGCTGTACCTCCTCTGGGGTTGTGGGGTGTCTGCAGCCCCCCAGGCCATCCGCTGGTGCTGCCCCTGCTCTCTCGCCCCCCCAGGCCATCCGCTGGTGCTGCCCCTGCTCTCTCGCCCCCCCAGGCTGACCCTTTCTCCTCTCCTCCGCCTTGCTTCCTATTGCCCTCGTCATCAGTACCCCCAGGGTCCTGCTTTGTTCTGAAATGGTACTGGGTGATGCTAACTCTTAGCCACGCAAACGCCCGTGTCTGCTGCTGGTGCCCCCCCTGGTTTGGCATTTTGGAAGGTGCCCCTCACATGGGCGTGCTGGTTACTCTGGGAAGGTGGCAGGTGTCTGGCTCTCTGTCGCTGAGCTCTTACTCTTACCCTGCAACTAAGCAGTGACCTTTCCCAGCATGCATTGGTACATGTCCCAGCATGCAGTGCGCCTCCCCTCGTTCCAAACAGTTCTATCTGTGCCATCTGTGGGAGTAAATTTAGGTCAAACTATTCTTTTTCTCTGGGGGGGCGGGGAAGCATATGACCTCACTGCGGCCTGAGTGTCCCAGGGCACATTATCGGGCACACGCTCTGCCCCCCCAGCACCCCCCCCAGCACCCCCTGCAAGCTGGCCTGCTGTCCCAGCCAAGCTCCACATTAAGCTTTAAAGGTCCTGCTTAGAATAGCGATGCCCCGTGAGTCCCAAGCTTGCGCTCTCTCTCTCTCTCTCTCTCTCTCTCTCTCTCTCTCTCTCTCTCGCGCTCTCTCTCTCGCTCTCGCTCATGCACACACACTCCACTCACACTCAGTATATCATACATGCCTGTTTTATTCCCCTTCTTTATTTGAATTCCCCTTCTGCTGTACCTTGTGTGGCTGCCACCCCTCTCCCCCCCCC